CTTATTACGCAACAACGAAGGGCGTAGGATCGATTTTACCGTCACATGATTTTCCGACGTTTATCAACCAATCAAAGATCAGGATCAGGTGTAACGTGAAGAAAGCATTTATCTCTAGAAAAATTTCCTTGTGCGATTTTGCTATATTATTGTTTTTCCTGAACTCTAACCCAAATATAAAGAAGGTTTTTATCTTTTCAAAGTATCACGTGACAATAAAATCGATCCTACGCCCGTCAAAATTCTTATTACGCATGGAAGTGTATCGGAGATAAAACGTATGATTTTCTCTACTTCTTTTTTATCACTTCTTTTTATTCGGTTATTTATATCACTTTCTACTATTATACATATTTTTGAGGGACTTTCGTCGGTGATAATCAACGACCCATGGGAGGTAAAACTCTTGCTATCGTCAAATCAGTCGCATGTAAAGTTTTATTTTTCGTATGTAAAAACTGATTTTAATCGGTTTTAACATATGAAAAATAAAACCGGTTTTCAAACTCTCCACGTCACTTCGTGTATTGGTTCCTTCAGATTTTGACTTCTACTATAAAAACTTTTTGAATTGCCTGAGTATTGGTGTCCACGTCGCGCGGCCCGGATGACCAACCGACGGATACTCAGTTATATACGTCACTCTGGTTATACAGTATCAACACCTCAAAAAAATAAAGAAATTGTCAGATATCGGTTCCGGAGACATTTTCATATTAACGTTAAATGTATAGGTTCAAATTTCTAAAAAAATATCAGTATATCAATATCTAGATGTCGTTATAACCAGAATGACGTGTATTTATTGTTGTTTAGTTGATGATTACTATGTTACTTATGCTGTTTGTAACATATTATATATAAGACTTAAATAAACTTGGTTCAATATCAAAAATTTTTTTGTACATAGTACACCAAGTCTTCAAAATTAAAAGTTTGAGTGGTTTTTAACGATAAATACATTTTTTGAACAGATCTTATATTATACTCTGTTACAACTGAGTAAAAATCTATTTTAATAAGAGATTACTTTATTGTCCAGAGAACTTACACTTCTATACGAATCTAATAAATTCATTTTTATAACGCTCCAAAAAATTTGATTAGCAACTTCAGATTTTTTCAAAGGTTATCTATTTTTTTTTTATTATTATATACAGTATATATATGTTATCCGGCAGGTACTATGTATACACTGACGGAAAAAATTCCATATTATTGCCGCAGTTTATTATTAAAATCATGTGATACGTAAAAATTTTATTTTTTAAAAATTCTTAATTAAAATTCATTTTATTAAAATTGTTATGCCCGGGAATTACATAAAAACAAATTTTCACATTTCAAATTCAATTAAAAATGATAACCTTGGAATACGGGATATAAATATTGGTTTCTTGCTAAAATTAGATCTCGTTGGAGTTGGGGTAGATGTTGAATTACTCAAATCTACGAATGATAGTGCAATTAAAATATATTACGAGTAATAAACTAGTAATTAGAATAATACATACCCAAATTCCCATAATATTGCTTTAGACCATTATTAAGTGTAAATATTTCTTCTCCTGTCGTTATTTTTGAATCTAAAAAAAAAACAAATCAAATCAACGAATATTATATTATTTTATAATTAAATAGGATAAGGCCACATCTAAAAAAAAAACAAATTTAATGCTATTGTTAGAAAAGATAGATAAAAAATAAAAAATACATACTTGTGACATTAAATTGTGAATATAGACAAATATTCACTTAATAGGTTTTTTGATAATAAACCTATAAATCCCAATCTTGCTTCTTCGATTGATCCTTGGAGAGCCTTGCCAATTTCTTATAGTCTCCAAGCTGCTTATCTTGGGATGACTTGAGAGGACCCGTTTCACTATACAGCAATTCAAGCTTATTTTTGCTGTAAGCATGTAATCGGGGTTTTTTGCGTATCTCCAGTCAAAATTAGTTCGAGATGCGCTAACGTAACTTTGTTTGTCCCTAAAATTCAAAAAATTACTAAAGGCTCAATTAAAAAGTAGAAGGATAGAAAAAAAAATACTAACCAAGCACCCCAAGCTTTGCATTTTATGGGCAGCCCGTTCATGGATGTATCAAATAAACGTGTTAAAACTTCACACATGTATGAAGTTTCATTTATTGATACATTATCATGAACATGGGCTCTATATTTTTTCGAGACCCATAATTGATGCCTAAAAAAAATAACTTTAATTTAGTTGCTTAAATCTATAAATGTAGTGATTTGAACTGGATAAAAAATGCTAATCATTTATATTGACTCAGCCAAGATTATTTCAGTTTGCATGTATCAATCAGGTTTGACAGCTTAATGATTCAACCAAGTTATTCTTCATAGGTAAAATAACCAATTATAACAATACACGTCACTCTGGTTATACCAACACACTCTAGCAATAAGAATTTGTTTATATATTGAGTCTACCTTATATGCATTT